CGCACCCACTTCCTGACCTTAGGAGCGGCTGCAGAGCAAGCACCAGCAGCAGCCACAGGGGACCAAAACACACACGCACACACAGACACAGGAACAACAGACAAGGACACAACACGACAAAGACGAGCAGGCAGCGGCAGGAGGCGGACGTGGCCCCCCCCCCCAACGGAGCACACGCACCCACTTCCTGACCTCAGGAGCAGCGGCAGCACAAGACAGCAGGCAGGACAAGAGAACGGGACGCACAGAAGAACACAGGGGGAGGGGAAAGTTGCCATGGCTCTCAAACGGCTGCAGCGAGCAACAGGGTTTAGGGGATTCATCCTCACTCTCGAAAGCCTTGGTCTGTTAGGGTTCCGACTCTCACGCTCGCACACCTCACTCAGGGTGTAGGGTTTCGGGTGCCGGGACCCACGGCCAGGGTATAGGGTTGGGGGTTAAGGCCCTCGTTGAGGCCACGGCGAAGTAGGCATCCTTGCGCACATCCAAGGCATCGCTGCAGTACCAGCCAGGTCCCATGAACTCGGCGCCAGGAAACCAAACCCTCTGCCCCTGAAGTCGTATAAGTCCTACATATAATCAAATCACTACAATCATAGATGCAAAAATACTGTACTGAGTATATAGTGTGCTGTCCACGTGCTGCCCGATCCTCATGTTGGCATAATAGCTTCAGAACTCAGAATTCTGGTCTCACTACACCACCCTAAACCCTAAATCCCTAAGCCCTAAACTCCGAAACTCTGCACCCCAAGCCTCTCATGTGCGGTCGATCTACTGTGTAGCGAACCCTAAACCGTGGCGAGGTATCGCGGCGATGGCTGCCAGCTCACAAAGTGACGACTGCACCGCAGTGGTCACATGCCCGGAAGGTTGGTTACGAGGATGTTTGGAGGCTTTAGGTTTAGGGTTTGGGGCTTAAGGTTTAGGGGAAAGGTTTAGGTTAAGGGTTTAAAGAGCCATCATTGGACCAAGGCCCGTTGTGCTTCCCTAAGGGTCCATATATTTGAAATACTTTGGCCCTAAAGGGCCTACACAGGGAGTACTTCTTAATGCTTTGACCGCAGTAAGGCGAAAGCACTACGAACAGATTTGCTACATGAGTACATGGACTCCGAGGGCTCGGTTTGCACAATGTTGATGCAGCTCTAAAAACATTCGTGTGGAGTTCTTGCTCTCCAAGCTGCCACTTCCATGTCCAGACAAGATCTCACCCCTGAACGTTTCTTCATTTCCCCTAATTTTTGCCCAAAGGCTCCTGGACTCTTGTAGTGAGCGTACAAACCCTAGCCCCCAAAGCCCAAACAGTGTCCCGGAAAGCCCATGACTCTCTCAAGGAGCCTCAAAGTAAGCCTCAAACCCAAATCCCCTTCATTTCCAGTTTTCCCAGTCTATAACCCTGTACCAAACAAGTGAGTACTTTGCCCCCAAAGTACCTACGAAATAAGGACTACTTTCAGGCCGAAGTGTGAACTATTCGGGTACATGGACCCTTAGGGTAAGAATCAAAGACAGGCCGCTCCGTGCTGCATGATGCCTTGTCATGACATACTAAAACTTCAGGGCGCCGCCTAAACAGCAGGTTACGAATATAACTAACCACATCCTACGAAACAAGCCCACTAGTTACGTAACGGGAGCCCTAGTTTGGAGCACGAGTTGTGCTGAGCATCTTCAGGAAGCCCTGCGAGCTTTGCACATGGTCATGTCTGAATGGGAGCTGCTATATTTGGCGACGAGTCTGGCGACGTCGACTATGATTTGAGAAATCCCGAAGACCTCATCAACTTCCTGATTGATGCCAACATACGGCTGGTAAGACTGAGCTACCTGCTAGAGCTCAACGCTGCCGGGCGTCTTTGGCCACGGCGCCAAGAGGCGGAGGAGCAGGGCTTGGTGAGATGCCACGAAATCGAGTGCCTGAAAAGAGCAGAATATGTCGTGGATGAGAAGCATTTTCCCCCAGTGTGCGGTGGGGCTTTTGTAAGACAGCGCAGAGATACCGGAGCGGGAGAAGGACGGGTTGTCAGAATATATTCCGTGTCTCATTGCTGGGAGGCGCAGCAACATCCAGACCCCTTTGGCTTTCAAGCACACTTACTCTTGAAGTGGTTCAGAGAAACCAGAGACTTCTCAGCTTTTGGAAAAAACGATCCGGATCAATGTTGGCTGTTTATCGACTTTATCTCCCTACCTCAGTACAAGCGTACAGAAGCAGAAGAGCAACAATTTCGTCATGCAATGAACTCGATGCATTTGCTCTACTCGCACTCAGCTATTTACCACGTAATCCGCTTGGAGAAAATCATGCCAGCTCACCTGCACAGATCTTTGCAGCGAGACTTCATCGAGATCTATTGCGAGACCACCAACAAGGTCGAGCTCAGACCATTTGCGGAGTTGGTGATGAACGATACGCTGTACTTTCAACGAGGCTGGTGTGTTGCTGAAACTCAGTGGATGTGCACACGGTCTGTCAGTTGGGAACGCTCACCGATGACACCCGCTATGTTTCAAGAGCGTGTCATTCGTGGAATGGAGGGGGATCCAGATGGGCTCGTGTTGATATTCACCCACCGCAGCGATCTTGAATCCGTGGTGCAATTGCAAGAGAAAGTGTTTCGCAAGCATGCACAGCACAAAACGGTATTGTATCTGTATAACCTGCCCGATACAGAACTGCAAGTGCTCGCTGAGACATTGCCATCGCTTGTGAGCTTGCAGGTTCTCATTGTCCAGGATGTTGACCAGGAGCACGAAAGAACAAACTTGCGTCAATCCCTTGCAGCGCTGGCGGCATCTATGCCAAAGTGCAAAGAGCTGTTCTATGCGAATGCCTTTGGAGTTGATCTCCTTCTTTTGGGGGACCCTCCACGCAGATCGCCCCCAATCTCTGCTTGGTGTAATGCTTCACATTACAACGTCGTGGAGAGCCATTTCGTGACAGACTAGGAAATGGCACAAGGTCTGTGCACAGAGGGAATGATGCACCTCCCTAAACCCCAAACCCTAAACCCTAAATCCTAAACCCTAAACCCTAAACCCTAAGCCCTAAGCCCTCAACCCTAAACCGCCTGACCTTCATGTGAAGCGGGACTTGTTGCAGCGGTAGCCATGCCTGAGCCCGAAACAGATGTGAGTCCTGAGACCGAGAGCTTCAGGGTAATATAGGGGTTTAGGGTTTAGGGTTTAGGGTTTAGGGATATAGGGGCCTTAATAATTAGAATTGGGTTTGGGGGTATATTATACATTCATTATATTAAGGAACCACCAAAACCCTATTCTAATTAACAAGGCACCTACGTTCATCTGAGAGCTTCAGGGTAATCTTAGGGAATCTTGGCACCAGGATTGGTTCCGGACAATGATTCACAGGGCTTGCTTGTTTGGGGCGTTGTTTCAGAGGTTTTCAGAGGATTCATGAGTCAGACAACTTTTCGGATGCCATAGGGGCCTTAATAATTCCCTATGCTATATTCTGGGTTCCTTGTGACAATTATAGTATAATACACCTCAAAACCCGATTCGAATTATTAAGGACCCTACATTACTTCTAGCTGAGAGCAGTTAGGATTTTGGTAGTGTCAGAGCTGTCTTCGTCTGGTGCACTGGTCGTGGGTTTGTCCTGTCGCCCCAAAGCACCCTGAACCGTGCATGCAACAAGCACTCCATCTTTAACCCCGAGTCCACAGAGAAGCAGCCCGTAATCTCTGGAAGGCCTAAACCGTCTAATGACTCCTAAACCCTGAAACCTAAATCCTAAACCCTAAACCCTACCCTTGGATACCCCTCAGGCCAGCCAAGCGATCTATGCATGAAGTCATGAATCGCTGAAGCCCCGCACCCTGAACCTAGCTCCGGTATTCTTTATATGAGCAGTGGATTGCTTGTGGTTCGAAGATGCATCACAGAGTCGATAAACGGGACGTACACTGGACCGATTGTTCTGTTAGTCGTCTTCAAAGTCACAGGGAGGAATTGTTTATGATCTGAGCATTCTCTTGAAGAAACTATTCCTAGCTAGAACTAAATCGTTTCCGTGGCGTTGCGTTGAGGTTTCTGAGTTTCGATTTCAACGGAATACGGCTTGGTGGGTTTAGGGTTTAAGGCTTGGTGTTCCGGGTTTACAGAGGCCTCCTGAATTACTCCTGACATACGTCCAGTAAAATACCTTCGTGATGTAACTCGAGCACTGCTGTGGAGTAAATCCGAACAACATGCTGCAAACTTGCTGGGTCGTACTGGTGAGAGCTCAGAGGGACGTTTTTTTTTCTTGGGCTAAGGGCAGAGGCTGTAGTTCATGGCACCTTGAGGCTGGTATCACATCAGAATACAGACCCTTTTCGCACCCCTGGTTACTGTGGTTATGTCGCAGAACATATCCTGACGAGAGACCTGAATGATGCAAGGCAAAGCCACCTGACCTGTGGGACCATATACCCCTATTTGAGGGCACAAGGAGGGTCCTGGGAATCCCACACAAAGTCCGACGCCCTGAATTTTGAACACCTGAGCCTGCACCCTTAGGCCTACACCCTTACCTTTTGAACCCTACCACCCCAATTCCTAAACCCAACCCTAACTCCTAAGCCCAAGCCCTAAACCCCAAACCCTACGCCCTCAACCCCCACACCCTAAATCCAGAAACACGACTCCTAAACCCAAGAAATCCCAACAGCAATCCGTGAACCCCAAACCCCGAGCCAAGGTGGGGCAAGCAGACGCGGAGACTAGTCGTGCTCCCGGCCGTCCCGCAGCGAGCTGAGCGCAGGGTCCTGGCTTGGGCTTTAGGGATGGTTTGGGGTCCTAGGGATGCTTGGGGTTTGTTTAATTAATATATACATATATACATATACATATACATATGTGATTATATATATATATATTATAAACTATATATTATATATGTAGGGTTAAGGGTTTAGGGTTTATAAGTACAAGCCTGAATAGTTAGTGGCTCTTAGGGCTCCTTATTATAAGCATACTTCATCGGGAAGCCCTAGGTGAATTACGAAGGCCCCAATACTAGGGTCTGGTTCAGAGTTTCTTGCGGAATTGGGGTGAGTCGTCATGTTATATAACAAGTTTGGGTGCAGGCGTATATGTGCCTGTATCAGTTTCGGGAGGGGGGGGATTTCGGGAACAGGGAGCTGCCATGTCTGTAATAGTGTACTCAGCATTCCTGTCAGTGGAGCAACTGCATGGAAAGAGATGCCTTTGCCATAGATGGGCAATGTTTCTCTGAGCATTATACGCCGTGAAACCCTAAACCCTTAAGCTTAAGCCCTAACACTGAAAAGCGTAAACCCCGACTCATACCCTTAGCATCGAAACAGCCCCAAAGCCTTTTGAAATAGGGTCTTTGGCCCAAAAGCCTTGAAGATATGGGTGGTTCTCTAAATCAGGGTCCCTTTTTGGGTCACCAATTTTGTACGGCACCCTTATAAAAGAGACCCCCAGAGGGACTCTAATTTAGAGATTTAATTTAGAGAACTACTCATATGAGTCCTTTGAGGGTAAGGGATAACACCAAACCCGTGAAACCCTAAACCCTTGAGCTTAAATCCTCAAACTGTAAACCCCGACTGATAACATCGAGGAACTCCTTCTGGCGCAAGTTAAACCCTAAACCCTGAGCCCCCTGAGCCCAAAACATCGAGGAACTCCTTCTG